ATGTTCATTGATAATAGGCCAAAGTAAAAGAGATGTTATAGGAATGATATCATTATCTTTTTATATTTAACATTAAAACTCCTATGTCATATTATTCTAACTTCAAATGTTGTCTACATATATATATATATTGTTCTCTATCTTTCTGTTTTTCTTACATTAGACGACGACATGTACGAGTCGACGCACGAGATCTTTCGACGTAACGAATACGAGGTGGAACGCATACGGAAGCAACGGTGCGAACCTTTTCTCTCTCTCTCTCTCTCTCTCTCTCTCTCTCTCTCTCTTTCTATCTCGTTGTTTCTGTTAGTAATGTTCGTTAGTGTGAGTGAGAGGAGCAGTCTTTTAGTACCACACGGCAGATTCACACTGGAAGACCGGCATCCTGCTGCTTGGGCGGCTGGCTGCGGATAGACGTCGCGATAAAACGCGGTTAACACGGAAATTAACCGTTATATCTTTGCACTTATTTACTCTTACACAAGGATATAATCTTCTAGCGAGGCGTGTACCGTATTTTACATAATACAATCGGCCTACGTTAAGTCCGAAAAGAGAGGTACGTATATATAGACGAACGACATATAAAATGGCTTCTTCTAATATCATAGATTCTATAGAAACATCGGTATGATCGCATTGAATTTTTCTTTCAATTCATTCAATTTTTCTTTCGCCTTTTGAGAATCGCATTACAAAAAAAAAGAAAAGGAAAAGAAAAAAAAAGGGGGAAAAAAAAAGTTGGCAACTTTTCAACGAGATCTCCATCGATGTCTAATCGTTCGCGAGTTTTTTTTTACGCGAAGTAAAAACAAAAAAAAAACAAAAAAAAAAAAAAGAAACAAAAAAAAATATGAAAAGAAAAAAAAACGAAATCTCGATAATTCATATCTGAAGAAAGAATAGAGAAGAGAAGAAGGAGAGAAAGGAAGAAAAAAAAGAAAATATAAGAAATAGAAAAGAGAAAAGAAAGAAAACCGTGTCTATAAGCCGTATATATAAATTTTTTATCGGTTTTGAACATTAGCGCCATGGTACCATTGTCAGGGCATATCTACTTATGTATATTATTAAAGGAATCGTTGAAAGGATATAAAAAAAGAAAAAAAATTGTCTCTATGCGACAAAGTTGAATTTCCCTAAGGGATACTGAGGTACGTTTCTATGAAAAAAATTTTCAACGAAACGAGAGACAAAAAATGAGAAAGATTTAAATATATATCTAGTATTTGATTCTTTTTCTTTTTTTTTTCTTTTTTTTTCTTTTTCGAAAAATTTCCTCCGGGTAAACGAAATGGAGAGTCGAAAGAAGAAAGAACAAGAAGAAGAAGAAGAAGAAGAAGAAGAAAAAGGAGAATAAGAAGAAAAAGACGAAAAAAAGGGGAAAGAAGATCGTGCGTGAAAGACGCGTGAGAGAATGGAAATAGAGAAAGAGAGAGAAGATGAACTCGATGAACATCCGCCAGATGACTCCCTTTCTCGGTTGGCCGCATCGAAGGCAACTTGGGATGCTGTAGCTGGTTGGGACCAGTACCATCTCTCCGTCGTATTCTCTCCTTCTCCTGCGTACCGTCGGTTACGTGTCAGCCACGGATTCCACGTCGACCAATCAGACTACGGCTTTATCATCGTCCGCCACTGCCATTGGCCGGAACGGGCCGGTCTCTATCGAGCGGGCGTCGAGTCTGCTCGAAAGGCCGCGCCTAGCGGACCTTCGTTTTGCTTCTCTCTCTCTCACTCTCTCACTCTCTCTCTCTCTCTCTCTTTCTCTTTCTCTCTTTCCCTCTTTCTCTATCTCTCTTAAGAGGGTTAGCATACCCTTTCTCGCCATCCCCGTTGAACCACCACTACTAGCCGTCGAATCTGGAAGGGAGAAATAGAAAGAGACAGACAAAGTGAAAGAGGGCTGTTGAAGATTGATAAAGATAGTCAGAGAGAAAGAGAGAGAGAGAGAGAGAGAGAAAGAGAGAGAGAGAGAGAGAGACAGGGAGATAGAGAAACCTTCAAACTCTAGAATCAACTTTCTTCTTCTTCTTCTTCTTCTTCTTTCTCTTCCTCTTCTTCTTCTTCTTCTTCTTCTATCCTTTTTCTTTCCTTTTCTTACTTACTCCTTCGTCTCACTCACTCTCTCTCTCTCTTTCTCTTTTTTTCTCTCTCTTTTTCTCTCTTTTTCCGTCTTCGTCTTACGCGCTAATAAAGCGCATCGCTCGCGTTGTCCGCAGTCGAGCAAGCGCGACTTCGGTAAGTCTCTCTTTTGATCGATATGACGGTTTCTCGGGATCCCCCAAACTCTTCTTCTTAAGATAGCATGCGAGACCCCTCTGAGACGGTACTCTTCTCTTTCTCTTTCTCTCTTTCTCTCTTTCTCTCTCTCTCTATCTCTCTATCTCTCTATCTCTCTTTTACCCTCTTTATTCGACGAAAACTCGGAATCTCTGAGACGGTAGAACGCGTAAGAGGATCGCCTCGAGGCCAAGCACACGATTCTTTCCTCGAAATTAAAAGGGTCTCCTTCTCGAAAGCCTTAGAGTCTTCTCTTTGATAGCTTCTTTTTTTCTTTTATGTACTTTTCCTCTAGTTTCTCTCTCTCTCTCTCTCTCTCACACTTTTTCTTTTGTTGAATCATTATCGATTATATCCAAAGAAAAGTAAACTCTTGAGAAAATTTGTTAAATGCTTAAATGAAATTTTCTCTCCCCTTCTCCACCCCTCCCCCTCCCCCTCCCCCTTGCCATGCCTCGAGCCACGCCTTCTTTCTCGATCGTACAACAAATCTTAACGGGCATGTCAAAGTTATGACGATTTTTTTCATAGAAATGTGAGGAGACGTCTTCTTTCACTTTCCTTTTCTCTTCTTCTTCTTCTTCTTCTTGTATTTCTTCTTCTACTTCTATTTCTTTTTTAATTCTTCATTCATAATAATACAAAATGAATCGATGAAAATGTACTAATATAAGAAGGAAATAACGCTTTCCAAAATGGACAAGAACGAGACCCTCCAAATATAGTCGCGACTACTACTTAACTAAGCAAAGAGAAAAACAAATCCGGAAGAAGTACTCGTGAAAGAACAATAATACGCTCGACTTACGTAGGTACCTACCTACCTACCTACCTATCTACCTACCTACCTACCTACCTACCTATCTATCTAGTACCTACCTACCTCCCTACCTACCTACCTACCTACCTCCCTACCTACCTACCTCCCTACCTCCCTACCTACCTACCTACCTACCTACCTACCTACCTACCTACCTACCTACCTACCTACCTACCTACTATGTAGTACTTCGTTTACTTCGCTCGCAATTAAGAGACACTCGAGACAAGATGTTGCAAGGAAGAACGGAACGA